TTGTTGTGCTAACAAGGAGAAGGGCCAAAGAAAAACATTGCTGAAAATGGTACGGATATATATAACTGTAAGTTTGTGTAGAGTATTTTATGATGAACTGCGATCAGTTATTGTTTTTTGTTTACATTTTTTTTTTATCAATAATCCACATAGATCTAATATATGATTTAGATTCTTTTTTCTCTTGGTCTAATTTTCAAGACTCACAACTGCTTCCTTACCAAAACTTGAATTATAGACGTAGTAAAACGATTAACGCCATTTACCAACGGGACTATGTGATGGCCCTAATAATTGCTTTCACCAACTAATTTATTAAGCAATATGGAATACATAGCCCTAACGAATGTTTCAACATATCGTTATTATTTATTGTGGATGAGTTGTGACTATGCGCCTTATTCCGAGCGGTCTTCTACGTGATCCGTTTTGTAACTCGTCGCCTTTTTTTCCACCTCCATTTATGATTTTCGTAAACTAACATACCTGTTTTAGCGCTAAATTGTTTTGAAAAATTGTATTATTGCCATTTCTGTTTCGGAACACGTCATTTGATGCCAAATGTCTCAAACCTGGACAAGCTCGACGCAACGTTAATTTTACGACCCCTGATCAATAAAAATGTCAAATAATTACTTAGTTCAGTGTTAACTAGTGTAAGTAATACATATTTGGCAATTAGAAGTTAGAAGTAAGTGCTCCTTCATAACAAGTTGGTTGTTTAATATATCTTTGTTACACCCTGCAATACTTGCTGCGGTTATGTGCAGCACCAAAGTTTGTTGTGCCGACAAATTACGCTCTAAACCTAGGCTTGTGTCATCGCCTATCTCTTTGTCCGTCTTATCGTCTTATTTCTTTTGCTCAACTTGCTCAACAACCAAAAGAAGCAGCGCAAAAAAGCGCAGTCGCCAGATGCACCTAACTGCAGCGCATGCATAATAAGTGCAGCTAGGTGCAGCACAGTCTCTAGGTGTAGCGTAGTCGCTAGGATCAGCCCTACAACTAGATACAGCGCAGTCGCCAGCGGCCGTCTTGTTCTCTGGGATTGCACCTAAAAATATGTAATGATGAAAACAGGTCCACAGTAGCTGTAGCAAGCTGTTTGCGGAATGAAAGTCTAATTTCTACAATAGATAGATAGATAGGTTAAGTTCGCAAAATTTCGACCACATAATGTGATGTTTCGAGCACGAGTGAAACGTTATACTAGGCGAACTGGTGTAACGTATCTTTTAGTCATACTTACGCGCATGTCTTTGAAAATATACAAATTTTTTTTTTTTTTTTAATCATTTTTTGTTGTTCTTTTGCTTCCTTTTTCTATTTTACTTTACAAGAATTATCTGTATTAAATTATTGGTGAACTTGGGCTTCGTTGGTTTTACATCTGTCCTTTAGACTCGCACAAACGCGTTCTGATATATAGTTTCGTAGATAAACCAAGATAGCTGGGGGCGTTTTCATATCCAATGGATATGAATGTTTTTTATAGGTTTTGAAAATTTCTAAACCCTCCTCGTCTTCCTGATCTGCTAAGTTGGCCGCCTTCACTGCTTTGCATAATGTATCGATGCCAAAAGCTTTTCGTTGTTGTGCACACGTGTTTCCATTATTGTTCGACGTGCAATGCGTCTTGCAATGAGGCTTAACGTTAAGCGGATTAAAAATTAATTTATTATTATGCTTTCCATTGAGAGCGAGTCCCGATGATGGTTCCTTTTTAAAGTTCGGCGTTTGTGTTGATTTAACGGCTGAAGTTTGAATTTTCGGCACCGCAACTGACGGCAACTTAAATGTACGCGCCTTTGCGAACAGTTTCCATGGAGAAGACGTCCCTTCTACTGTTTGCGTTTTCTCATTTTTTTTCTTAGTAGTTAATGCAACTGTGTATTTTGGATGATCGGATGAACCACTCGTCGTTTCAATTGATGAATGACGTGTTGTTGTCTTCATTGTATTAGTTTTCGACTCAACAGCTATTTTCTTTGACAATTTGACCGGTTGTGGTGCTCTACCCATTTTAGTGACAGCTAGCTGGATCCAAAAGCTTAACGTTATTATAGCGATTATTATAAAAACTAACGTTTGAGTTTTGCTGAAATATTGCAAAAAAAAAAAAAAAAAAAAACAAATTTTTGCTTTAGCCAGGAAAAAACAAAAAAAAACAATGCAACGCCGAAGACAAAGAAGATTACCGTGTAGCGTAGAAAAAGTCGAGTAAAAGTTTTTTGAAATAAACACTTGCCAGGATGCAAAACACAGATGCGATCATAAGGAAATAGCTGCAAATTTTTAAATAAAATACATATCTTTTGTTGCTTGATATGCGAATACTTACGCCAGCCCGGCGATAACATCGAAGAAAACATTAAATAAATTCCATAAATTAGCATCAGTGCTGCTTATAATAAGATCGGGCACACGTGGCTTTTTCAAGCTGAACGTCATTCTTAATGAAGAATCCGATTTTGTAGGGGATGAAGACGAAGGTTTTCGCCATTTCATCCTTTGTGCTTCGGTCTCACTGCGTTGTCGTTTACATTTTTGACAACCACAAACAGTGTCATAACGCAACGGTTTCTTGCCGTTCAGCTTGGATATTTCCATAACTTTTTTATATATATAATATTTTCACTGAATTGAACTGTTCATGCTTGTGGTTGAAATTCCTTTATTTTATTTTTTATTATTTTTTTTTTTTTTGCAAAATTTTGCGAATTTCTTTCGTCTGTAAAATTTAATGTTTAAGAAATTTTTGCTTTTTCTTCTTATTATTACGTTTTTTGTTTTGCTTTTCAGAATTTTCGCTAGGGAAGGAAATGTTTTTTTTTTTGTTTTTTTTTTTTTGAAAATTTTTTCTTTATTTTTTTTTATTTTACAAAATTTTAAAAAGAGACCAAATAATATACAACCAAGTCGAAAGTAATTGTGTTTTAAAAGTGAGATAAAATACTGAAAAAAAGCACGATGACGTTCGACCCTAAACTTGTCCAGGAAACGATAGCAGTATTGAACCGGAATATGATACCTTCTTCTTCGCTACACTCGGCCCAAAGACTACTTACTCTTCATAATTAATATTGATTCCAATCGGCGAGTTATTGTCAACCAGAAAGAAGACATACATTCATTCTTTTCTCTTCGCTTTCGTGCGTAGCTTCAAAAAAATTCCAAAATTCTTTCTTTTTATCGAAAATATACAAAAAAAAAAAAAAAAGTGTTTTTTCTAGATTGACAATACATTGAATGAAATAATTTTTGCAATTATCTTATTACAAAAGGGAACAAACTTAATTCAACATTTGATAAAATTATCCGCGGCATGAGTTACGCAATTTCATGTCGGCAATCCTAATAGATATATAAGAGTGGAAGATAACCGTTACCGCATCGAACGTACAAGTTGCACAAGACGTCACGATATATTGCATCATAATTTTGGCGAAACTATCGGATCATTAAAAGCGTAATTCGAGCAGAGAGACACTCCTAACAGAAAACCTTATCTAAGAAAGGCTTTATGCTATTTTTGCTGGCTGACGCAGACATTAGACGGACAGGCATACTTAGATTGATTCAGAAAATGATTAGAAATCGATTTGTAAAGACGGGTCTATCTCAAGTTCTTCTAGGTGTTGTATATGCCCGCAGAAATTTAATATAAAAAAAAAGACTCTGAACATCGCTTGCAGCAATGTTTCGATAATGTCTCGTAGCCTTCTGAACAATCCTTGAGGCTTATAGCGAATATATTTTACTAAAATCTACAGGGCGTAAATAGTTCACTAGCTTCCATTCTGCATGCAATGGGACTTGAAATTAAACTTATCGTTTATTATTGTTGCCCAATTCAGAAGGCGAGCCTGTCCGTCTTGTTTTCTTCCGTTCAACTTGCAGGTCGTGCTGTCATTTGGGATATTTTTTTTATGAAATTTGGTACAGTGACGTGCTTTAGCCCAAAGACTTACACTGTTAAAAATGATTCGGACCGGACCCTCCTTTTTGCCCATTTTCAATATATGAATGACTAAATTAATCGAATTGGTGTAGGGCATCACGTCGCACTATAGGCTTTTTATTTCTTTTTTTGTTTGAGTGCAAACAATTTATATACACATCGAATTGAAAATCTGCAATGTCTTTAAATGATCACAACTTAATATCGAAAAGAGCAAAAGCATTTTTAAAAATGTTCATTCGATCATTATCTACATGTTCTATATATTGGCCTTTCATGTTCCACATGCATGTTAATAGATCTCAGAACTATTCTCTGGTCGTCGCTTCGATCAATTTTTATCAGAACGGCCAAGTTCAACAATATAAAAAAAAATTAGATTTAAAAAAAAAGCAAAGAATTTTTCTTTTACAATTCGTTATCAACGAGAACGAGAAATTGATTAATTCCTTGATTTATTTCAATAATTATTGCTCAATGTAAAAATTGATTAACGTTTCCCACGTCTTTTAGCTTGATTTAAATCTCAAACCTTATATATATATATATATATATATACCAATCTCCCAAATGTAATATGAGCACTTATATCACTTTCAAATATTGCTCGAATAGCTTGAGATAATAGTTGAAGTCCAAGTTTAGTCGCACAGCCTGTCGATCTTTTTTCTTCTTCCCTTTGCTTCTATTCACGATTCAAAACAGAAATTCATTAAGGTAATGTATTTTTCTAGTTTTGCAATTATGCATACATGTATACATGCATATACATATATATATATATTTGTATATATATATATATATATATATATATTTGGAAATTATATATAACAATATTTTTTGAGATTAGTTTTTAAGAGTAACATAGAATTCTTCATATTATTTATTAATCATCCGGAGAGGTGTCTGATGGGCCAGGACATACTCGACGAAATATACAATTATATAAATAAACTATGGGACTAGGAGGTGATTTCATTTCCATTGGATACGAGTAGGTGCGATAAGTTTGAAAAATTGCGCGGCCCTCTTCATCTGACATAGGTGTGTTAGTGGCTCTATCTTCGGTACTCACACTTCTGTCGTCGCCTCCGACTGTTCGTTTGTCGCAAGTGTCAAGTAATGAACAAAATTTATACTTTCTTCGATTTTTTGCTGGTGGACAATTATTCCTGCAGAGACCGCCGCGAAGACGATTGCGATCTGATTTACAAGATTTTGCGACAACCGTGGGAGGCTTCCTTCGAAATAAGCCAGCCGGTCTCTTTACTGCGCTCTCCGGCTTTGGAAGGTATAGAAACGTTGGCGGAGACATTTCTTTTTTTTTACATACTTTTGATGTTCCCGGTGCTTTGGCAGCTGCCGATACATTTGCTGATATCGGTTTTGATTCTGACGGCTTAGCCGGTTGTGATGATACCGCTGCTTGAGCTGGCTTTGATTTCTCTGCAGGAGATTTTTGTGTCGGTGATTTTGCAATTGATTTTGCAGCTGATTGCGTCGGTTGTGCTGGTTCGGCAGATCGCGATCGTGCTTTCGGTGTCTCTGCGTTAATGGGAGAGGGAGGTGGTTTCTTTTGCAACCTTGACTTTAAATGACTTAAGCTAATTAGTGCATAGTGTACGAAAATAGCTATAGCCACAACGGCAATAGCAGACAAAACAATCACTTTAGTTTTTCTACAACATTTGAAAATAATTTTGAAATGAATTTAATATAAACGATCTTAAGCACCGTTACCGTTTAGCGTAATAAAGTTGAACTAACTGCTTTTTCAAATGAATACTCGCCGAAATCCAAAATAAAGTTGTGCTCAAAATAAAAAAACTAAACAACATTTGGATATAAATTATTATTCAATTTGCAATGCTTACGAAATCGCTCCTATGATATCAAAGAGTACGTGAGTTAAATCTGTACATTTGACCTCGTCCTCCTGCTCTGCACTACCGAACGGCGACTTTTGTGCGAGAAGCGCCAACTTTTTTGCGGCTTTATTTGTTAGTGTAGCCAGTTTCTTGCCCTTACTCTGCCAAGGTTCTGGCTCAGTTCGGCGCCTTCTACATTTTTGACAATTGCAAGCACTAAGATCGCACAACATTGTCTTGGTTGCTTTGGGTGCTGGTCGCCGACTACATGCCATTTCTTTTTTAATTTTCTTTTTTACTTTTCAATTTAGAATTTTAATCGAATAAATTTATAATTTTACCTAAAATTTCATTATTAACATTTCTTAATATATATACATATATACATATATATATATATATATATATATATATATATATATATATATTTACCTTTTTTTTTTTTTTTTTTTTTTTTTTTACCCTTTTTCTTTTTTTTTTTTTTTTTTTTTTTTTTTTTTTTTTTTTTGACTTTTATGCCAAATACATCAAATCTTTTGTACTTTCAGAGACTTCTGCTGTATTGGGCGATCAAAGTTTTATACGCAATACTACATGGTATATAATGCCAGTATTGAATCCGGATAGTTATGTCTATAGTCATGATTACGATCGTTTCTGGAAGAAATCACGTTCGCTGCATGTTTCCCGACCGACTGGACTTATAAATTCGGCAATGACTTGGCTGAAGCAGAAAAAAGTTAAAGAGAAAATATGCTTTGGCGTTGATTTGGATCGCAACTGGCATTATCAGTGGGGCCGTAGAGGAAGTTCAAAGTCACCCTGCAATGAATTTTTTGCCGGTCCCGGACCATTCTCCGAACCGGAAACTAAAACCATGGCTGAATTTCTTTTAGAAAATCGCTCTCAAATAAAAGTATATTTCGGCTAAAAAATAATAAATAAATAAATAAAAAATAATTCAGATTTTTACAGTTATTTATATCACTTCAAGCCTATGGGCAAATTCTCAGCTATCCCATTAAAGTGAATGCCAGCTATAATACCGAACGTTTAGATGATATGCTTGACGTGGCTATGGTGGGAATTGATGGGCTGCGTAAAAAGTTTAGTAAATCCCGATATAAAATCGATACCTCTAACGATCTGATTGAGAATCGTTCAGGTAATTTTAACTTGAAAATTGTGAAAATTTTTTTTTTTTAAATTTCGCTAAAATATTTTTTTCACAAAAATTTTCAAAGGTTGCTCTGATGCCTTTGCCGCCTATGAGGTGGGAATACCGTTTGCTTATACGTTACAATTGGCGGATAACGGTGTCCATGGTTATTTATTACCGAGTGCAGCTATTGAATCTACTGCAGCTGATGCCTTTGAAATGATCATTAGCATGTTGGATTATATATAGAGTATAAAAGTTACTTGTTTTCTTCTTCTTCGAATTAATCAAATATTTCTACTATGAGAGAATAGCGTTAAAAATGTTTATATAATTGATAAAAAAAAATTTTTTTTAACATTTCGATTCTACGATTGTGTTTAACGCATAAAACTAAAAATTTAGCTTAATTTATGTTTAGTTGAAATGGAGATATATATATATATTTTTTTTTTTTATATTATATTAATTTAAAAAAAAAAAAGAAATTAATTGACGATATTTTGTTTATTTATCAAAATTTATTTTTGTTTTTTCTTTTTTTCTTTTTTTAATTTTCCACCTGCATGCCTGCATTGTCGAGAATAAAAATTAAATGCATCCTTAAAAAGTAATCCTATACCCTAAAAGTATTAAAAGCTAAATGAAAAAAATATGTCGCATGAGATTTAAAATATCGTTCACAATTTTCATTAAAATATATTGGAAAAAATATTTTTATTATTATTAATTTTATTATTATAATTAATTTAGCCAGAGAAATAAATTGTAAGACTAAATAAAGTCTTAAAACACTATCATCTAAGGCTATCAGCTTTATTGAAAACTGTACAGCACTTGAGATTGGAACCCGCGACCATTGAATTGTTCATCGAGATCCCTTCCCTACTCGGCCATTCAGGCGGAAAAAATAAATTCAAATATCCTTTCATGAAAGCATTTCATTTTATTGAAATAAGACAATCGATCCTTAAGGCGAAACTAAAAGTACATAAACCGATTTTTTGCCAGTATAAAGGTGAACAAAGAAAAATGAACAACCAATGATAAGAGAATCACATTGAAAGAAACTTTTAAACCCTCCCTCTCTTTCGCGCTGTCAGTCCAGTTCTTCATTACTAATAAGCTTTTTTGAGTTTCGAGAATCATGAAATATTTGAAAATTGTTAGCATATAATATAATTTAAAGGAGAAAGAGTTCAAAGAGCTCCCACTAGAGCGATAATGGAGTCAAAATTTAATGTCTATTTTGAGAATAATTTACTTATAAATACGATTTAAGCGCATTTTTGTTATAGATCGCGGTATCCTCTTAACGGAGGAGAAGCATTAACTTATTATACCCATCATCGAAGGATGAGGGGTACATTCATTTTGTGAACACGTTTGCAACGCCCAGAAAAAAGCACCAGAGAGCCCACAACGTATCTTCATTCTTGATCAGCATTAAAACCTAAATTGGTTTAAGCATGTCCGTCTGTCCGTCTGTGTAATGTCTATTGTAAAACTTCTCCTGGAAGCTATCGATTTTAAATTTGGCAGAAACATTGGAAGTTCTTGCACGTAGTTCGCTATTGAAAGTGGACGAAATTGGTCGGGGCACACGTCCACACCATCATGTAATGTGAGAGCACCACCTCTGCTTTTCAAAGCGAATGAAAAATTGTTGTTTTACTCATTACTCATAAACTATTGTATATAAACATACAAACATTTGAACGCATATTCTTTGGGCGATCTGGTAGTGCTTCCACAAAACATGGACAAACTTTACTATGCCTATCCAATATTATAGTGTATTACACTTTAATATTTTTCCCAATACTTTTATAATGCGCAGGAACAAGCTTTTAAAAGCCCCATAAAATATACACATTCCGCCTGCTCGTCTGCCCATCTGTCTGTTGTGCGTAACGTTGTAGTATTTGTAGTAAGAATTCTCCCGTTAGCGAATATGAAGATATCCCTTAAAAATTTGCAAAATTTTCGAATTGACCTAAACTTTTCAAAGGACACACCTACAACGCCCACACGCCTCGACGACAAAAACTTTTATTTTGAAAATAGAAAACACATCAACTGCGTCCGCTTCATATTAAAGAGCATGAGAAGTTTGTTCTTTAACTTTTTTTTGAGTAAACGGGGTGGGGTGATGGGTGTAAAAAATTCGGTCCCAACTTGTTTGTTTTCTAAATGAGATGTGATGTTAAGCAGCACGAAGTCTACGTTAGTATTTAATTTAATAACACTTGAGTATAATAGGTTTTCATGTTTCGAATTTAATATTGCGTAACCTTCTATTTAATCAATGCAAGAAATTATAATTTTTCGTTTGATTTGTTTTAAAATACACTTCATGGAGTTTTTTTTTTTTTTTTTCTTTCTTTTAATTGATGGAGGGCGAATTGACACGTTCATTTTTACATTAAAATTATAGTTGAATATCATCTGATAAAGATCGTGAGTTATAAGGCACAAACATATTTACAAAATGAAGAATTTTCCCAAATGACTACAAAGAAAGAAAGTTATATCCGTGCTTTTAGAATTATTTATTAACTAACTTTTCGTCGCGAAATTTTGACACATAGATAGATATCGTTCGTAGTTGTATTGCCGTAAACCAATGCCTGCAACATACAATGTCGTACATTATATGAAAATTGTATATGGTACACATGAGGATTGACTATGTTGAAGATGGAAGAGAAATAAGAGTCAAACCACTGTAGACCATCGCATATAAACTTAATAGTTAAGCATCAACTGTAAAACGCCATAGGCGAAATTGCATACGAGAACAATTTCTAAACGAAATGTTGCGGAAATGTCTTGATCTACATTCAAGATGCTCTCATCGCTCTCTAATCGGCCAACCAATACTCAAGGTCACGCCATGAATCGGATATGATCTCAATTATGGCAGTTTATGGAAGTTCGCTAAAAATGTTTGTTTTGAAAATTTACACAATTTAATTAACTCTTAACGATAGACGTAAGTAATACTTGCTTTTTGGCACTGAAGTAAGGCGAACAATAAACGATGATAGAAGTTTTGATTGATTTTGCGCTGGTTTTTTAATTGACAACAATCCACGATTACTTTAATTGAGGATTGTTAAAAAAAGACCAAAGTTTACATTTGAATAAAAAAATTAAAATTAATTACATATATCTGAGCAATCAGCCGTTTTCTTTTATTGAGAACAAAAGAAATATAAAAAAAAAAAAAAATGCTAAAAAGCAAAAAGCATAAGAAAAAGTGAATCCTTTCTCTCGCAAAAAAAAAAAAAAAAAAAAACTCAATAAATAAATAATAAAAAAAAATAAATAAAATAAAACAAGAAATTGCAAGGAAAAATTATTTCTCTATTTTTGTTTTTGAAAGTTTTTACTGCATTTTTTTAAATTAAAAATAATAATAGTTTAAAAAATTTTCTTTATCTTTATGATTAGGTTAAAGTGCTTTAGATAATGCTTACTTTTTGGTTACTATCTACAGCGGGAACAAGGGCTCACATTTGATTTGATTATACAGAAGTTGTGTTCCAAAATGAACTCAAATCATTTTCTACAGTAAACGCGAACATAGGCAAACCGAGACCTGCATTAAATGTCACAGCTTTTATAATAAATTAAAAGCATTGTAAGATAAAAAAAAAGCAAATAAAAAAAAAAAAAAATACAAAAAAATAATAAAAGAATAATAATATAAAATGCATTTTATTATTATATTATGTATTTAAATTGTCGACTCATTTTGGAACACGATTTTTTCTTTTTAAATAATAAACAAATATTCTAAGAGGATTCGGTTTTGTTTTGTTTTTTGTTGTTTTCTTTTTTTTTCTCGTCAAAAAGCCAGACAATTTATATAAAACTGCTAAATTCACGTACGTACACAGATGTTTAGATACATATGTATTTTATAATTAGCTTATAGATAAATATATACAGAATTATATATTAGATGAAATCTAAAAAGAAAAAAATATATATATAAAACAGTTATTTAACAACAGAAAAAAAGTTTCTTTTACAAATTTTTTTTCCCCGGAAATTTTTTTTTTTTTTTTTTTTTTTTTTTGGAAAACTTTTGCGTGAAGCCACCGAACAGATTATGCAAAACACCATAGATTTCATTAAATAAAAACCCTTTAAAGGCATTTATAAATTTAAAAAGAAAAAAAAAAAAAAAAAAAGTGCTTACAAATCTAAAGCCTAAATTTTTATCATTTTATTAATTAGAACAGAGATTTTTCGTTTTTAAGATTTCTTCCTTTTATGTAATATGTTTATTTAAATATATGTCCTTGTTTTAGTCTATAGTCTATATATATACATATATATACATATAGACTATATTTTATCATTTTCTCATTTTTATTAGTTTATTTTATTTTGTATATATTTTATTTTATGATAATTATTAATAATTTTATAACCGTAGTGTAATGAATTTATTTATTTTTTTTTCTTTTTTTAAATTTCTTTTCAGTGTAATGGTTCCTTTTTTCTCTCATGTTAATGCAGTAATAAGTTTCCTTTTCATTTTTTCTAGGCTTTTTTCCTCTTCCCTCACAGTTCACTCAAAAATTTAATGCATTTCCAGTTAATTTCTGTGTTAATGACGAAACTTTGTATTTATATATATGTATATGTATATGTGTTTTTGTTTGTTTGTGCATATGTGTGCATATGTACGTGTATGTATGTATATATGTGGGTATGTGTGTATGTGTGTGTATGTGTGTGTGTGTGTGTGTGTGTGTGTGTGTGTGTGTGTGTGTGTGTATGTGCTTCCTGTCTATTTGCTTGCATAAAATTTTCCTTAATTTAAAATTAAAATAGTTTTTACTCTCATTCATCTGCCTCGGGGAACCGACCGCCTTTCAAATTTTTATTACTTAATTTTTTCCTCAATTGTATCATAACATGTTTTTTTTTTTAAAATTTATATTTCAATGTTTTATTGGCTAAAGATCATCAGACATGAATGAATTTTGTGATTTTGATTCTTCTATTCGACGTATTTGCTGACGTAGATACATAATCCTATATAAAATGTAAGATTAATTAAATTGCTTTAGCAAAAAAAAAAAAATGCAATTTTCAATTTACTTTTGCTCCTGCAACGTTGCGGTTATTTCTGTGATTCTAACTAGACTTCTTGCGCACTTCAGTTCAGCTGAAACTTTTGTACATTGTAAATCTCCATATAGATGTGTTTCTTCGGAACATTTCTGGGCCTAAAGGAAGTCAAACAAATAAGAAAACTACATTCGGCCGCGACCGAATCTTTTATACCCATCACCGTTATTTCTATTAAAAAAAAAAACTACATCTCCAGGCTCTATACAGGGGAGCATCATGGCCGATCTTTTTTTTGGTTTTTAGTGTACAAGCGGAAATTTATATCGTACATCTATTACGGTTTATAAGCAACGAGCAGGAAACATCTAAAGCAAAGATGTTTTTAGTTTTTGCTACATAGACGTGTGGATGTTGTAGGCGTGTCTTTCGATCACTTTGGATCATTTTTAATATATTTCACACGATATCTCCATTTTATAGATACTAAGTAGTTTGACAGACGGACACGCTTAAGTGAACTCCGAATTTGAAATTAGCCAAGAATTTCTACTCTTCACCGAGTTTCGATGATTTCGGAAAGTGAAATGAAATTATGGGCGTAGCAAAATTTTTTTTTTATTTTTTTTATATGTACTATAGCATCACTTATAAAATATATTTTCAAATTTTTATAGGTTTATCTGTTGTAGTTTCCGAATAATGAGCAAAAACCCAATTTTTTTTTTTTTTTTTTATTCCCTTTGGAAAACAAGTTCCCCAATTTATACGTGGTTTTGTAAGCGTGGCCTTCGAGCGTTTTAACACATTTTCAATACCAATCTTCTTAGTACAAAAACTTTCAATATTTCTGTCAAATTTTAACGCGATGACTGAATGTTTGCGCCCTGAAGAAGAACAGTTTACACAAAACAGCCATTACACGGACAGATATGCTTAAATCTATTCAGAATTCGATGCTGATCAAAAATATATAAATTCTGTAGGGTATTTGAAGCTCAGCCGTCGATGATAGGTATAAAAGCATAGTCGGTGCGGTGCGGAGAATGAAAATCCACGAATTTTTTTTTTTTTTAAACTTGCCTGTTTCTCCAATTGGTCAGCTGCCCAATTAGTGACATGTGTTATTAAATCAGCTCTAAAATACTTGCTAAGTTTCGTTGATATTTCCGGACCTTGTGAACGTGCTCCAGCTTGTATCGAATTGGAAACGCAACTTTGCAGGGTACTTAACGATGCGGAAGCAGTATTATCCACTAATAAAATTGAATTTAAACAAATATACACTAGCAGAGTAGACATCATGACTTAAATCACTTGATAACTTACATTTCCGTTGCTGTTGATCTAATGATGAATTAGCGCTTATATCTAATTCCTGTGTAGGAGTCGGTGGTCCTTCACCGGGTAAAATGCCCAACGCGTTACCGCCGCTAACGTTAGTTGAATTGTTTGAATTATTAATGCCAGTATGGCCGGGTAATGCATTCAATGCTGATGAGGAACAAAGAGCAGAATTACTTCCCATGACAATGCCGCCGCCACCTACGCCACTATTACTACTAAGGGAATTTAGAGCAATATTAAGGTTACTACTACTGCCGGCACTGTTGTTGGCACTGCTACCACCATCGACAGTCTTGATACCATATTGATTGTTGCTGACATATGAAGGAGCAACGCTACTACCGCCACCGGAGGTAGTTGTGGCAGCTACAATGTTACCCAGACTATTGGTATGTGTTACCGCCGCCATAGAGGCTGTCGCAGTATTATGCGTTAAAGGACTTTTGGCATAACTCATGGGTGACATGCCATGTGAATGAGTTAAATTATACAAAGGAGAATTTAAAGCGTTTTCTCTGCGGAAAGGAAAGAAAAAATATATAAAGTAAATTAAAGTAGGACATGTTTAAATTTTAAATTAGCACAGACCTTAAATTCACAGCTCCAACAGTCGAGGCATGATTTATATTTTCTGTTAGCCCAGAGCCACCACCACCGCCGCCACATCCTGGCATTATGTGGCCATCAACTGTGTTCAAGTGGTGATGCATTTGCTGTTGGCGCAACATTAAGGCGGGATCCTTAGAACTAAGTTTGTTTGGTGGTCCTGGAGCATTGGAATTCAAATGATGATCCACTTGGTTTGTGGAGGCCTAAATCATCATTCAAATAATAGAATTAAACAACAACAACAACAAACAATATTTAATTTTTCTTATGCCACTTACAATGGGCGAACCCGCAGCCATTATATGAGATTGATATTGCAACCCCGTTACAGAGTCCATTTTCCGTTGACTACCGCTCACACCACTATTTGATAACACTCCGGCTGATTGCCCCGATGTTAAATTGACGGAAGCAAGGCCTGTAGCGGGTAACATGGTTGCACCAGCTATGCCGCTTCCTCCACTGTTGCTGCTATTACCATTCGGCGGCACAATAACGGAAGCCGAATAATGCATTGAAGCTGCTGCCGTAGCGGCGGTTACATTTGCGGAGGACACTGAAGATGCGTTAGGGTGTGAAGCCAATCGGGGCAAAGCGTTGGGCAAACCAACCGTAGTTGATGGCAATGTTTGGTCGTTATGTGATTGACCAACAGTACCCATTGTATCATGGGTAGTGGGCGTACCGGTCAACGAGTAACTGGCTTCAGAGGTGGGCGTGGAATCACCCGGACTTATATCCATATCGGCGTTATCGGTCAATCGTCCTAAAGATATGTCATACAAGATCATTTTAGGGATTACAAAATTTATAATAACAATAAATAAGTACCATCCAAACGTCTTCGATGTCCGGGGGGACCGGCGTCGTTATCATAATTCCACCTTAAACGAGAGTTGCCACGAGAACTGGAATGTTTTGTGTAGGCTAAAAACATGATCACATATTACATCTTTTAATATAAAAAAGCGTAATCTTTTCAACGGTCTTACTTGATCTAGAAAAGCGTTCCTCACGCTCACGCTCACGCTCTTTGTCACGGTAGTCTTTTTCGCGATGCTGATCACGTGCTAAATTGCTAAATAAAGGAAAAAGAAAAAGTTCTACAAATCTTTATATTTTACGATGCCGTCCATTATCGCATACCGTTCTCTCTCTATCCATTCCTTTGGTTTCTCCCATTGTGAGACCTCGGTCTTACAATTATAATAATACATTTTACCTAATACGACAACAACGCAATATGCGGAAAATTTGATTATTTGTTTTAAAATTAAACTTTTTCTTTCTCTTACTAACCAGACGAGCTAACATGTTCACTCCAGTCTCCACATCGAGCAACACGTTCGCCACGTTCGCTACGTTCTCCACTATTACCACCACCACTTCCTCGTTCCCGATCACGATCATCACTCCGAGCGCTGCGATCACGTTCGCGTTCACGTTCGCGCTCTCGGTCACGATCCCGCTCTCTAAGTGAATCTCGTTCTCGTTTACTATCTCTTAAATCGCGTTCTCTTTCACGATCCCGATCCCTCTCGCGATCATCCGAACCGGAACGTTTGTCGCCCCCGCTGCTGGAAGTGCAAAGCTTAGCTCCGCTACTGCCGCCGCTACCAGCACCTCGCCTATCAATCCTATCATGATTGGAGCGATGCGAATCAGAATCGCGATCACCACCGCGACGATCCCGTTTATCTGAAATTTCTTCAAAATTAACATCATTTCATAAATGAAAAACTTGCATATTAATCACCTGAATATTTGTCCTTTTTATATATATCGCGATCACGATCTCTCATTTTCTGTATATAACTGAAACGATCGCCACCACAAAGGCCACCGCCGCCACGATGATCTCCGCGATCGCGTATATCGTGCGAATTGGAGTGACCGCCTCTCGATGATGGCGAATCTATTTCGGGCGACTGTGAGCGATATGAAGAACTATTACCATTATTTAATGCTCCACCGCTACTTCCGCCTCCGCACACACTACCAGCCGGTGAAATGTCGCGGTCGCGGTAATTTGATGAACGATCGCGCTCATAATCACGTTTTGAATTGTATTTGGAACTCTACAAAAAATAAAAAAAAAAAAAAAAAAACACAAAAAACAAACAAAAGAACAGAAATCCAGCAATCAGGTAAATATGTTTTACTTTTTAAATGAGAGAATTAAAAATAAATAAAATCAGGGAAAAGTCCGAAAAATCAACAAATCAACAAATTTTGTAATAAGCCAATTAATTATTTGCAAAATTTAAAAATCGTGGGGGCCCCCCCCCCCCCCCCCCAAAAAAAAACAAAAAAAAAAACAACATGAATTAAATGAAAATGATTTTTTTGAAGACTTGGTTGTCGGTTCCGTTTTAAATGAAAGCAAAATCAAAGATCAAAATAAAAAGATTAATATCAAAAAATGTTTAAAAAAAAAAAAAAATTAAGAAAGAAAGAAAGATTTTAGATAGATATGTATTGCATTGTTGTTTGACGGGACCACTTACATCTACGATATGACAGAGGCCGACAGCAGCAGCATTTTTATTACATTCAGCTGCCAGTGTTGATATATCGAGTGCAATACTATTTGTGGTAGACATAAACTGTTTGGGGAAGCTTCAAAATCTTCCCAGCACTTTGCTTTACTTTAACTTTTCTAAACCGGGTCTTTGGCTTTGTATGATTAAGATGCGCAACAATCTATGAGTACTGTTGTTGATGTTGTTGGCCTGATGTTTTGACTGAGACGACAAGTGAATTTCTAATGCATGACACATTGGATGCGTTGCGTACAAACGAAGGAGGAGAATGAAAGAAAGCGAGAGAGAGAGAGAGAGAGAGAGAGAGAGAGAGTGAGAAAGTGAGAAAGAGAGAGAAAGAGAGAGAAAGAGAGGGAGAGAGAGAAAGAGAGAGAAAGAGAACGTAAAAGAAGGGAGACAGAGAATTTCAAAATCAAATCAAGTGCAATGTCAGTGTGTCTAGTTGTGCTTACAACAATATGCAATAAATCCTGTAGTCGATTATTTAAAACTATATATTAATCCTTTATGCATGGTATCAACATCATTAAAAAGAAAATAAACAAGTAACAAAACACATAGATAAGTTTTTCAAAATATACATATATATATATATATATCTATACGTATGTATGTACACTTTTTTTTCAATATTAAAAGCAAAAAAAAACCATACATTTAATGGCAAATCAAAAAAATATCGAGAATTAGTCAATTAAAGAAACGGTCCGCATTCTTTCGCGTCTTTGCCTAATTTCAGCGCGTTTCATTGAAGACACTCTACTCTGAATACTGAGTACACTATCTATAACAAATCGACATCTTTGAATGACATACACAGCGCTACTCCTGTCGAACATAACTACCCGGAATCCATCAGGCGGCTATTTACACATTAATCAAAGACTAGGGGCTTAAAGTTTGAATTCAACATTAATATGCTACGTAAGTCGGTGATATTCTTCTTTTTGACTATATTTCCACTTGAAATTGAAAAGGTAAGGTTTTCAACTCGCATAGCAAGTTATATACTGTGTCGACAAGATCTTCAAATTGTTGTTCGATTAACAGGGTGATCATTACTGCTCTGCTGGGATTGATTAAAAAAAAAAAAAAGAAAAAAAAATATTATACAATTGAACCGTCGACTTTGAGAAAATTGAAACCCCAAAGGTAACACAATGAGAACATAGAGAGAACTTGGAAAGACATCAAACAAATAGAGGGGGGGGGGGGGGGGGGGGGGGGGCCCTGATGATCGTACCCTTTTTAGAAGCACTTCATTCGCGACAGTTATTTGTGAAATTCAATCTGAAAATCATTCTTGATTGTTTGCTTAGAGCTTGCAGAAAGAAAGAAGCCTTCCTGGCACAGTACGACTATATTACGAGTAAGTAAGCGAAGTAATGAAAAATGTGACTTTCAGTTTAAGGCGGATTTCAGCAAATGCACAATCATAGCATAGTCGCCTTTTAAAGTTGTTGTGTTTGAAATTTACATTAATGTCTGTCGATAAATTCTTCATAGAGTTTTTGTTCTATTTTTCTTTGCAAATTTATTTGTGGGTGAATTGTGAAAATGCTTTCTTCTATCGACATAAGCTTAAGAGTGTATTTGAATGTTATTTGAGATTTCCACACCGAATCTTGAAGTGATTACCAATGAAGATCAAATCGTCTCTGATGTGCATATCTAGGCTTTGAGTTTATGAGAATGTAACTGGGAAAACGAATAATTCCTCCATTTCTATGGCAATGGCGCCTACGTGAGTGCAGTTACTTTGAAAACTTGATTCAGTCTAAATACAAAATACTAATCAAGAATGTGTAGCAATGAAATGGAAGGAAATGCTACTTGCTATAGCCGTATGTAAGCATTCATAAATTCGATTCGAACATCATGGATGCGGCGAATCGCAAGACGGTTTGAATTGAAATTGCTAAAGAGAGACGATGATTCCAATTCGTTCTATAACTCTAAATAACTCTAATTCATTACACACACACACATAGACATAAACGGGCGCGCGCGTGATGAGAGGCAAGTAAATGTAGGAGTGTAGCCGCCAGAAGATTCATTCCAGCATCGTGGATAAGTCCATATCCATAAAAAGATTCCAAGAATTGAATTGACATAAACAAAAGTCTTGCAAAAAAAAAAAAAATTAAAAAAAAAAAACTACTTGTTGCGGGGCGCTGAAATGAAGCATAAACATCAATTAAGTCTGTAAAAACTTAATAGGGTAAAAAAAAAGTTCATCTCTTACTTTCCTGCGGATTCCTTGATTGACTGACTAATTCCTGCTAATTTTCATTCAAAGTGCATACAAGTACATATATAAATGTGTACATATATTATATATATTTATATATATATATATATATATATATATATATATATAAAATAATTTAAGAACAAGCAAAACCATATAACTCTATCAAAATAGTCAAAGGTAAGAGATGTAATTATGAGAGAAAATATAGAAAACAAATTTCGTTATTGAATATAAATGATTCAAATTCAAATTCAAATTGAGTAGTAAGTAGTTCCAGAGAAAATCAAAAATGCTTAATAAACTGTTTATAGATAGATATAGATAGATGTGTATGTATATGATAAAAGAATTATTTTACTCACCTGATAAGGATGGGATTGATGCTTCTCAAAGTAGCTGAAATATAGAAAGGATTAAAGGATTAAAACGTAACGTAATCGTTAATATAGCAAATTAAGAGAGAAAAAGAGACAAAATCGCTTTATATATTATGTCAAATTTTTAATGATGGTATCAAAGGTCTTGCAAAGTATTAAAGCTACTAAATTCTATTCAAAGGATTATTACGACCCCGCTTACTTTGATTTACTTATTAAGTTCTTAGATCATTAGAGAAACTTAATTCGCTTAACTTATAACAGATTTTTCTTTAGAAAAGATTTTCAAAATCTAATAAGACTAAGTGCTTCTGACCTTCCAATCTATATTTTTTGCGAGTCGTAAGACAATTCTATCGCAAGTATTAAAATGCTGACGTTTCGTTATTATTCCCATAACTTTTCCAATATCTTGTTTTTTTTTTAGAATTGATGGTTAAAGGACATCAATCTGTGCACTTCATTATTGATCCAAGCTCCTGCACACAACTCGCTCAATATGACATAATTAAATTCGCTCTAAGGTAAAATCGTGGATACCCATCACTCTGATGAACTGATTATCGAAAATCGAAAGGTTTTCAATGCGTCATGCATTTATTGAAGATTTTGGTTCTACATTCACGTTTCCTTCTCTCAGTTAATCATTTAATGTATTTTCCGGTTCGAAAATGTAAGAAAAAAAACAAAAATTAATAACACAGAAATTTAATTGCATTAAACGGATAGAGAAGAACAGACCAATAAATACAACTCAATGGAACCTTTGCACTAATGTACTAATATATACATTGTATGGACTTCCTAGAGTATATTGATAAATGAAATTATTGATAGTGATAATCGAAAGTAAATTGGAATCACATTGATTCGAATAACCATCATATAGCCGCGAACATATTGGAATCCATCGAGCGCGTTTTCGGGCGCAATGTCAAATTTGTGTTTTTTTGCTGAAGATCGTAATGATCGTTAATAACAAATATATATGTTAAAGTCTTCTGGAATGGATTAAAGCAATTTTTATAATTGCTTCTGCTTTGAGCATCGCATGGTGAATATAGACAAATCGTTTTAATCATATATGTTGTGTGTAAAAATTGTACAAAAATTTCTACTGCGTATCTTTGGGTGTTACAAACAGAATGAAAAAATTATTACATCCCAATCCTTCGATGTTGGGTTTGCTTGCTGCAAAGACCATGATAGTTAATAACGATGACGAGTTTAAGATAATTTCCAAGATTGCTTTTAGGGTAGAATAATCAATGTATTTTAATATTTTAGAGTCCTCAAGAGGTTTCTGTAGTGCAACTAAATATTACTTAAGGGCATCAACCAAAATCTGACCAAAAAGCAGCAATACTGCGAACCACCTAGGATTTCGTCAGTGCTTAATTAGGCCACCGAACTTTGTCCCTTAATCGAGTCCTTTAATAGGATCATAGGCCTTTTTCATAGGATTCGCAACCGCTTCTCCTGGAATTGCCTGTATATCGTATGACACGCTACCGCGACTAGTCATCCTTAAAACGTACTGAACAAACTACCAGCAGGGTCCTTTCCTGCCGTGCCTGATGTTTTCACGTTTAATTGAAACGTACCCTAACACTTTTCTCCCCTCCCGTCCTTCTCTACCCATAAAACTTTCGGACCACCATCTTGCCTGCGTACATTAGGTACAACGCGACATTTTTGAGCGCAAAAAGATTCTTTACAATTAATATACATATAATAAGAAGTTAAATTCTGGCTTGCTTTCCGTTAGATAAACTTATCATAACCAGTAATTTGTATAACACTTTATAATATGATAGACGTTTACTATGGAAAAACCAGAATAGACTACCATTTCTCATTGTAAAGTAGATTTTTTTTGTAGATTAAGTAGATCTTAACAATGGCTTGTAACCGATCAATGTAATTTCCCCATTCATTTGTCGACAAGTATATGTAGGTCCGTATCATTATTCAAATCATCATCTCCTTTTTATTATTAAATTGCTGCTCTACATATCGTTTTAAGGTATCTTTAAAAAAAAATAATAATAATTTAGTTTTGCTTTACTGTGGAAAGAAATTGATTAAAAATAATATATAGATACAAAAAACTATTATTCTGCTCGACTTTAGAGTTAAACTAGAGGCTACACTTTGAACTGTTCACTCTTATTGCACGAATTTGCTTTTTGCTGTGTTTTCAAGCTGTCACTATATTCTTGTAAAGATTTAAGGCACTGCGATATATAGTTACCGCCACATTTATGCGAAATTGATGGAACATGAACTGGGCGCGAACTGCACGGAACGGTAACAACTTTGCTGAGATAACTAAATTTAACTTAAACGATTACTGAAATTATGTATCAACAATCGGATATTGAATGTTGAAGTGGTTGCATCGGGCAATAACGCAATGGTGCACAAAAATAATTTATGTTTACGTTGCACATTACCAGGAACCGAGGAAACTATTAAAATCTTTTAACAATTGCTCTTATGGATTATGAATAGAATAAAAGAAAAAAAAAACACAAAAATTCCTTTAATAATCCATCTTTCTACACTGTTTCCTCTTCTTCAATTTTATAGTACCGTAGGCTCTCTGCTTGTTTATATCCCACCAGAGTAACAGAGCCCTCTTCAGTAACAGCGCTGTCATGGTGGAAAGTTGAAAAACAAAGCATAAATGACAAGAATGTCAAATAAATGCCAAAAAAATAGGAAATTTTTTTCTTTCTTTTTTTTTCGTTAAAAATTATTTTAATGCGGATGCTTGATCGAATTTTACGAACCGAAAAATTGGAAAAAAAAACAGAATTAAAAAAGTTACCCATCATTCATGCGTTGCGGTTTTCTAGCATGCATTACCATCAATGCAAAGTTATTGCCACGATTTCCTCAACGTTAACGTCGTCCCACGATGTTGCTGCTGCCGCTGCTCTTGTTTAGTCTCTGCTGGTGACAAGTACAATACATAAAATTGATGGTCTGTTCTTTAAGGCCCTATATTTAGACGTCCGTCCTTATTTGAGGTGTAGAGTTTTTTTGCGAAGGAGTCTGCCAACCGTCCTTATCTTGTTACAAATTCTTAAAAAAATTTGCTAGGCTTTTTTCTAAAGTGATGAAGGTTACGGCACACACCCCTTCCTTTGGTTGCGAGTTCTCTTAGTCGAGAAAAGCAAGAATTTCTGTTCTGTTATTTTCTTTTGCTTTTTTCGTATATCTAAGATTGACTGAGAACTCTGGAACGTGATTTCTCTACTTTTTTTTTTTTTTAAGCGAGCGCTGTACAGATTTTCACGTTAATCGGTTTCTAATTGTTCAATTGGGATTTTATTCCCCTTTAGTTAATAATTCTTGAAAATGTATTTAACGCAAATTATTGTTTATATTAAAAGCAATAATTTGCGTATGTTTTTTCGTTATTAATTATTAATATAAAATGTAAAAAATTCTTCCAACAAAAATGAATTAAAATTAGAATATTTTCTTGTCGCCTCTGCACACTTGATGAAAATTTTTTCTTTTCAGGTTGTTTTTGTATTGTGGTGAATTATTTACTGCTGCTGCTGTTAGTAGTGGTGTATATGTGACGCCATTTTGGGACGTAATTACACCAAATTTCTTGAGTAGTTGCCATATCAAAAAAAAAAACAAAGAAAGCAATAAAGAAATATATATTATTTTTCCCACAAAATCATATTTTCACGAATTTAAAATAATAGATTTAGCATATTATACTTTGTAGTGTTTCTTTCGTTTTATTTTTTTAAATTTTTTTTTATACATATTTCCCTCGAATTTATAATAAAGTTTTGCAATTTAAAAGAGTTCCTTAGCTTAGCAAAATACGAAAAAAAATATTTTTAAAAAAATTTTTTGCAAAATTGATTTAGTGTTTTGCTGGGTAAAAAAAGGTGCAATAAAAATAGGTTTTATGAAATTAACGAAGTTTTTTACTCTTTTTCATTCATATATCTGGTCACTCTTTAAGTTGATTTAATATCTTGTGCTTCTTCTTTATTTATTTATTTTCACAATTTTCTTGGAAAAATGGCATAAAGCGCTGATATTGAAAGCTAAACGATCAGGAATATGAATAATTTAAAGAGAAATATAAAGAATTACTTACTTCTAACGGATTCTGAATCGTATTCAGAAGAAGTACACAAGGTTGGCTGAAATGTTGTTGTAGAGTATAATCTATTACGTTTTCTTTCAATTTCAGTTTTGTTTAGAACAAATACAAGACGGCCGCCAAGTCCTTTTGATTACTACAAAACAATTTGCATATACTCCATTAACGCAAGGATCTCAGTTAAGCGGTGAACAATTGCAGCGTTTATTGATAATGTGAGTATTTTTAATTATAAAGTGTTGTTTGTTTTTTTTATTTTATTTTATTTTATTATTTATTTATTTATATTATTTATTTTTTATTTATTTTTACTTTATTTATTTTGTCTTCATTATCAAATTTTAACGATCCTTAACGTTTTTTTATATTTTCATTTTTTTTTTTTTTTTAGGTATTGTCGATCATTAGGTGAGGTTAATCAGAAACTTTTGGAATTATACGAATGGTCATTGCCACACAATTTGGTTGTAGTGGACGTTTGTCATGATGTTTGCGATTCATTTGTCCATAAGATTGCACACTGCATAGCTTGCTTATATGGTTTTTTGCATTCGATGGAAACGCAACAGAGGAAACGATGTAGTTCGAAAACTAGCAAGGAATCGAAAATTTACTGCATATTTTCAATTAAATTTGATGAACAAAACTTCACACGTGAACAAGTAGAAATTTTGAGAAATTTATATTTCTATGAGAATACTAAGTTATTTGAAAGCTTCAATGAAATAAAAGAAAAATTACGCGAAGAAAATTCAAAAGATTAAAAATATTTCTGAACCTTGTTTATTTATTTATTTTCTTTTTCTATTATTATTATTATTATTATTATTATAAATTTAGCCAGAGAATAAATTCCAAGACTAAAGTCTTAAAGCACTAGCATCTAGGGCTATCGGCTTTTTTTTATTAAAAAACTCTACCGCACTTGAGGTTTGAACCCACGACTATTGAGTTGCTAGTCGAGACTCTTGCCTACTCGGTCACTCAGGCGGATTTCTTTTTCTAATTATTTCAGTTAGTCTGGAATCTCAATCAGAATATTTATCAAAAAGATTAAAGTATTAGGAGAACATGTATGGGTGAAATGGAAAATATACAACAAGGGCCATCTGTCAATTCAATTTATTTGAAAAATGAAAACTTCCATTTTAATTAAAAATGACAACTCTGTAACATTGGGATCTCCAAGCTTGAAAAACTAAACGAACAGATGGCAATACAGGGTGCTACAGCGAATGTTTAATTAATTAATCATGTGAACAGGGTACGCGTTGTGTGTTCTCCAGTGTGTTTTTTTTTCTCGCAAGGTCTCAAATAACAATGGAGCGTGTTGGACGGAAAAGCCTGCTTTCATTCTTTTTGCCTTTTACTTAAATTATTTTCGCATCGTTTTTGATAGCTTCTGTAAATTTTTTAAAAACTTAATTTTTTTTTTTTTTTTTGGTTAATCGATGCTTGAAACCTTCTAGAGTATGTGGAAAAAAGTTCATTACGCCCAAGAAAAATTTGTTTTCTTGAAATTTCGGAATTTTCCATAAGACAAATGTGGCGACTGACATTGCTGTGTGCAATTTTAATAACTGGTATGACTAGTATTCTAAAAGTTATTAAAGTTTTCGAAACGAACATTGTTACCCAATCAAACAATTTGTGCATTGAAGTCGACACTAACTGGAGCAAGAAAGCTGTAAAACACATAGGTTGTAGCATAATATCATTATGAAAATAGAATGGGGGAAAATATTTGAACTTAGAAGGACGGCCTGGAATTGTAAATAACTAAAAAGTTGAGACGAAAAAACATGCGTATAACACATGGCGAAGTTTGAAGCGAGTTTATCCCGAGACACAATTTTTGAAATCACCAAGAAGCATAATTTAAACAATTTTCATATCTTACATTCGAATTTTTTAACGCGTATTCAAAACAACATTCTCTAGGAAAAGACGTGGGCTCTTTTCAATAACTTTGTTTAAATATTTGCTTTTTTTTTGTTAATAATGTGTGAGTGTCTTTTTTTTGTCGAGAATTGCACTCAAACATTCGCCAGTTACACAAAAACCAATATTATCTAAAGACTCTACATGTTTTGCTAGATGTAAGAATGTAGATTAAATGATTCTTTTTTTTTTCAAACATGAATTTGGACCAGTTGTGCTGCTTGCCGCAGAGCTCTTTAAGATAAAGATGTCACCAGAGAATGGCTACGGTGTTGCCATTTTTTAATATTTTCAAAAAATGATTTTCTCTTCTAAGACTATAAGGTGCGCTTAGCAATCTTCTCAAATATTATTTCGTTACACGCGAAAAAAATTGTTACGGTGGTCTACGTCCTCAAGCCCCCGGCAATTTTTGCGGGAAACATTCTTTGTGCTTCTATTTTGATTTTGATCGCACTTTGATTAGTAAAAAAGATTTTCGTATTAGCATTACAGTCGGTGTAATAAAGGCAATTGTTCATTTCTGTTCCTCGAAGCGTTAGGTTTTCGATTAGGTTTTGAATAAAACTGAAAACATGAGAATTCATGGAGATTATGTCTTGATTGCGTTTGTTTGTTACATTCTACGAAGGGAAGATATCGGGACAAAGGGACGTATAGACATGGAGATTGTCTCCAGGAAAAAGTCCATTAAATGACCTCTCAAAAGACCGCCTGCCACAATTTTAAGACCTTTCGATCGTTTGTTCACATGCGCATAAAGAGCATCCCTTGAGCGGAAAAAAAATCAAATTATTTGAAAGCTGAAGTGATTTTTGATGAAATATCGTATAAGCATAACATGCGCATCTTGCAACTCTTACCTTCCGTTGACAACAAAAACAATTTGTGGTCGCTCAAACACACCAGGTCACATCAATAAAATTCTGAAAACTATTATCGATAACGGAAATGGAAAGTCATAAGGGAGAGCTTTAATCCCAAATGTATGAGAAAAGGTAGTTGCATTTACTATTTAGCCTGAAAAATTGGGCACTAGAACGCAGATTATCAAATGGGTACAAAAAAATGCCTTCTTACTTGGGCGCGGAAATTATTGATCGACATATATTTACATAATTGAACTGGTTTGGAAAAGTCTAGCTATCAGCTTATTTCTATGTCGGGAATATACCTGTGAAAGGTATGTTCAGTTTTTCGAAACGTTTGCAACACCGAGATATATTACGATCGTCGCCCTCTACAAGTACAAACTTTCAAAATGCACATATGCGCGTGGGTGTGTATAAAATGAACGCCAAATACAGAAATATAAGATGAAAGATATTGTAATTCGATATAAATGATTTTTAAACTGAAATCGATTTCATTGAGTGTTAGGTTTTGTTATTTTTTTTTGTAGCATACTTGATGGATAATGGATTATAATGAAAGCAAAAACAAAAACCAAAACTATAAGCAAAAAAATGCAGAAGAAAAAATTGATGAATTTCGAAAGGAATTCGACTTGTGTTGAGTTAATTACTGTTGCATACTGTAATGCGTGCGAATGCTTAATGCTAAGCTTTTGACAAAGATTTGAAAAACTTTTGAATTAAAAAAGGTCGTTATATATAGCATATGTTTAGGCATAAAGAGCTTTTTAAAGTTTTTCGTAAAAGCATTCGATTGCTTTTTTCTTTTTCTTTTCCCTTACTACGCTCTCTCTGAAATAACTCTTTACGAAAGTTTTCCTTTATAAATATATATTAACTCTTATGTATGGTACTCTTTAACCGGAAGAATGTGAAAGCACGATCTGGCGCCTTTTTTCTGCAACGAAATTGCAAAGTCAAGTTTGCAGAAACATATTTCCTTTAAGTTCTAAAGCGTAGCGTGACAGAGGATGGAGGGAGGGAGAGAACAGTTTGGATACTACAGATTTATAATAAATGGAACATAACAAAATAAAGCCAACAAGTAGTAGAAGTAGTAATGTTTTGGCTGCGTCAGTGAGAAGTTTCCATCTACATATGTAGAGGAAAACGAATAAAAATAATATTTAGAAAAAACAAAGCGAAGAAGAATTTCAAAATTATACAGTAACGAAACTCGTGTGCATTGTATTTATTTTTCATTAAAAATATGTCGATTAATTAAACGGCACAAAGACATATATATACAAAACTACATCCGGAGTGATTAAAATTAAGTGTAATAGAGTCCACGAATTTATTTTTTGTTGTTGACGTTTTCCTTAATGTTTTTTTTTTTTTTTTTTTTTTTTTTTTCTTTTCTTTTCTTAAACTTTTTAAATGGTAAGTAAGAGAATGATAGGTCATTGAAGAATAGTTTTCATTACATCAATATTATGCAAAACCACCGGGTATAGGGTTTTGCTTATATCTTTTTTTCTTTTTTTCTTTTTCTTGAATAGCAGTACAATCCTTGTTGTATTTTATCTTTCTGTCGTGATTATAAAGGATAAGGGCAGAAGGAAAGGTGATTATTCATGATGATGCGTTTGAACAGATTAATTTCGATTTTATTCGTAGCACTCTTTTGTTTGCACTATCTTCTTCTACAATGTGAACAATTGTTCTTTTTTCCTTACATTTTTATTTATTTTTTTCTTTTTTTTTTATATATCCATATATATATATATATATCTTAGTTAAAAGGATTTTTAACTCCATTCATTTTATATTTTGTTTAAAAATTTTTTAGTTTCTTGTACAAGACTCTATAATAATGGAAGTTGATTGTGTCTTTCTTGTAGATGGCAATATATAACGTACTTAGGTATTGTATTGGAAAAAAAAAAAAAAAAACATTTTTGTAACAGCAATCTTATGCGGATTTCTGTGGCCAAGAAAGAATTCTCATTGATTTTTATTTTTATTTCTTTTTTTTTTTTTAAGTTTTTTTTTTTCTTTTCGCTTTACATTTAGTTGCTAATGATTTCTCACTATTTAAACTTGAAAGATTCATTACAGTTTTTATTGATAATTAATTTCTCTTCATAGGATTTTTAATATATCAAACATGTTGAGAGAGTTACTTATGTCTTCTGATTTATAACATTTAAAATAAATTGCTCAAATTGTAAGGATGCAAGCTTAAGCGATGTCCTATAAGAATATGATTTTAAAAATTTATTTATTTACTTATTATGTATTATTACATTGTGAACCGCCTGTGGTGCAACGGTATGTTAACTATGTGCAGATTCATGCAACACGCACTTGAGGGACTTGAGATAGATCCGCCTTTCATTAAAACTGATTGAGCTGAGCTTGTCTCTCTCTTTCTCTTTCTCTCTCTATCCGTCTGTCCATGTATTCATTTGTTCAATCTAAAGTTCAGAATTTTTAAGATATTTTAATGAAGTTTTGAAAGCTCTATTAAAAATTGTTCGCAACTCCGTCTTGTTAGGCAAAAATTTGTGGGTATTTATCCATCACTCACAAATTATGAAAGATAGAAGAGTGGAAGTTTTTACATACACTTGACGGAAAACTCTATTGTTTGTGTGCAAAAAGCGTAGTAGGGTGTTTCTATTCCACTATGGATGGATGACAGTTATCTAGACCAGCTTAACCGCTTTAAAAGTCAACCAATCACTTAAAAGTCATTACTTTCCAAAGCATAAATGGTTTCTTAGCTTTTTTTTTTTTTTTTATTTCAAAGCATCTTTCGCTGCTCGTTGGTTACCTTACGTTGAATGAGTTAACAAAACGATTTAAAATCCTAGATATAGTTATGGGAACAACTAAAGCTAGATATTCAACTAAAATATAATGAGATCGAAATTCCGTTGACTCTTAGAAGTAAATCTTATACT